TGAACTGACTTCCAACATCAAAGTGAAACATTCATATCATAATTATCTTCATTTTCACTAGAATCACTATCATCTAAAATACTTTTAATAAAATCATTAGAAAAAATTGCATCATTAGAATTATCACTTGAAATTGATTCTGAATCGCTCATTTTAATAGTATTTATGATAAAATTTATAAAATAGTAGCAAAGGTAAGGTTAAGAAAGAAGAGAAAGAAAGAGATGTGGGAAAAATTGATCAAGAATTGATATATTTAAAAGTCTAAATAATTATACACATGATCATATTGACTGCACACCAAAATTGATATGTATAAGATGCATCATATGGACTGATTCTTGGAATCTAATTTTTTTAAAATAATTTTATTAAAGCAAATATAAATTATCATTTATATAAGAATAATAAATTTATACTAGATAATGTAAAAAAAACCAATTAATTAGTATATAATTTTTAATTTTTTTTTAATATAAGATATCATTAAAATTTAAAAGATCAAATATAACTCTCATGACAAAATCATTGATAATTCTTCGTAAAAATAAGCTATATAAATAAATTTATATTCATTTAGTAATAATGTTCAATATATTTATTGAATTTTATCTAAATTTGATTATTAATTACTTCATATGTAGTGATTCAATTTAAATGATCTTTACTCCCTAAGGTGATGCCAACTTTTATCTTTAAAATAAATTTAAAATAATTAATTTAATATATATAAATGTTTAGGAATCATCAATTATATTATTAATATAAAATTTTATAAGTTTGATAAAATCTGATATAAAAAAATTTATTAAATACCTGTAGATGTAAGCTACATGAATGAAATTATATTCATTTGAAAGAGAAAATTGAGATTTATCTAACAAGCCTAAAATTGAATGAATTGAATCACTGGATTGTGAATAATTATGTCCAATATATTTATTTTTAATTTAAATTTGATTTAACTTTGATTGTTAATTACACCTCATCCAGTAATCCAATTTCCTGATCTTTGATTCCTATGATAGAGCAAATTCTTAGCTTTCAAATGAATGTAAAACAATGATAATGTTGGCATATTTTTAGAAATAATAATGCACGATTCTGTCACTTGCATAAAGTCTGATCTAAAATTTTATTTCTTACCAAAAAATGCTTTCATAAGAGACACAGGTCGAAATGCTAAAAATCGGCAAAAAAAATGGCGCGAAAAGCAGTGGCTATTTTTGGCTATTTTTGGCTATTTTTGGCTGTTTTTGGCTATTTGCGAATTAATCTATACTATATGTAAATAGTTTATATAAATTTGCGAATAGTTTATGCAATTCTAGCCATTTTTTTTGCCTATTTTTGGTCATTTGATGTGTGAGAATTCCAATTCTTTTACTTTATTTAAAAGATTTTATTTGCTATTTAAGGATTTTAGTAAAATAAATCTAATGAAATAATTTTAAAAGATAAAAACAAATATATACACACGTCAAATGATCAAAAATAGGCAAAAAAAATGGCGCAAATCGCATAAACTATTCGCAAATTTGTATAAACTATTTACAAATAGTATAGGTTAATTCGTAAATAGCCAAAAACAGCCAAGAATAGCCAAGAATAGCCAAGAATAGCCACTGCTTTTCGCGCCATTTTTTTTGCCGATTTTTAGCATTTCGACCTGTGATAATTAGTTATTTTGAAAAAAAAAAATCTTATTATTTATTTTACTTACAAAGAAAAAACAATAAATTAAAGCTAAAAATTATAAAAAAATATGTCTTTTCTATCTATATATTAAAAAACACTGCAATCACGTGGGCGTTATATTTAGATTAACCATATAAATAAATCATTTGAATTGTGTAACCCTACTCCTATTCGTCGCCAATATTACACAAGACCAAAAAAGGAAATTTTATTTCTGGCGAAAAACTGAAATTTTGGGTTACACAGGATTCCATAAAAGGAAATTGTCAGTTACGCAAATTTCCAAAAAAAGGAAATTTTGTCTTCTGTTACTTTTCAGAGAAATTAAAAAATTGTGTTGCTCAAATTTCCAAAAAAGGAAATTCTTTGCAGATCTTTTAATTCTGGCCGGAATTACATATTAACTGTTGTCGTAGACAACAGGTGAACACTAGTATATATAAAATATTAAGTTTTTTCTTTTACTTACTACTTAAAAATAACTGCTATATATGCTTATAAACTTTTTTGTTCCATTTAATAAAAGTGAATAGAAAAATGATGAAAAGTGATGGGCAGTAATGGGAAAAAAGAAGTGGTTATTACCGTTATTTTTAAATATTAATTAAAAATTTTTTTTATTTTTTATTAAATCTGAGTTATATAAATATGTAATACATATTTAATTTAGATTTGTGTAATGTTAATTTTACTAAAATATTAAATTTTTATAAAAATCTTAATTTAAACTAATTCCAAAAATTGGCCTATATGATTTACACATTTGTTTAAAATTATATTTAATAAATTTAAAATATGTGCATATAAAAAAAATTATGTATAGAAGCATTTTGTGCAAAATGCGTAAAATACAAATTTTTATAATAATAATATTATTAATGTAATTATAATTAGTAATAAATAATAATAAATAAATGCAATAATGCATATTATATTTTTTTCAGTTTCAGCCTATAGTATAAAATTTAAAAATTAATTTCAACCTATATAAGTTTCGGCCAGAGTTTCAGATTTCAGTACTAGTTTCAAACTAGAATTTCAGACTTTCAGATTTAGCTATACCCTTAAGAGGTTTTGGCTATAAGTATAATTAGATTAGTAAAAGTATTTCAGAGATATTCTTTAAAAAGGTACTTTTTTATGTTAAGGAACATCTATATACTTTTTGATAGCTTTATCAAGTATCTTAAAGAATGTAAGTCTGTTAGTATATAAGTTGTTCTTATATAAAAAATTGATAAAATTTCTATAATGTCTAACTTGTTAAAGTAAACTTTTCCATTTTGTAAGGTTATTTTTCCACTTAATAGAAGGTGTATAGTCATATCTACACCTCATTGTTATTCTTAATTTGCTTATTCTAGGTAATATACCTTTTCAGCAGATTATCTTAAGTTTAAAACTTCACAAAAATAAAGAAAATGTATAAGAAATGTAAAATCAAAAGCTACCAAGAGGTTTTTCTATTAGAAGTAATAAAATAAAGTTTATTATAAGAGAAAAATAAAAGAAATAAAATAAATAAAATAAAAATTTTTATTGTTATTAAAGGAATAACAAAAATTAATGATTAAAATATGGATTTTCAGATTCTTTTTGATATAAAAAAAAAATAATAAAAAAATAGAATTATATTTAAAATTAATTATTTTAATAATAAAAATTGACAATTTTTTATATATTTATTTCATCACATTTGAAATAATCATTTTATATATGTTTTATAACTAAAAATTTGGCAAATAGTTTTTTATTTTAATTTATGCTAATATTAATGAATTTTTGCTGATAGGTGATTATCAAATAGTAAGCGATATCACAATTAAATTAGATTGGATTTTGTTTAATATTTGTTAATTCAAAATTGGATAAAAAGGAATATTCTAACTAATGTAGTTAGAATTAATCATATAATAACTACATAATAATAAAAAATTGTGTGACTTTATATAATTTAATGAAATATTAAAGAAAAAGGTAAAAATTAATATGCAATATCTTAAAGGAATTAAATATAAATCAAAAAAAATGAATTAAATGAATCAAAGAAAAAATTGGAAAAGTTGAAAATTTAAAAAAAAAGTTGAATTTGATTTTGTAAATAATTAATTAGAAATAATAAAGGATGTAATAATATATGTTACAATAATTTGAGGTATTATCAAATCTCTATTATTATGACTTTATAAATGGTTGCAAGTTATTATGTAAATCTACAAAATTAAAATCTTCAAGGATGGAAACTTGGTACAAGTATAGCAGGACAATTTTAATTTTGTTCATTATTAAGCTTCTTAGCAAAGTCCACATGTACTGTTAAAGGTCCTCAGCACCTTTTAATTCACTACTTCAAACTTTTGATTTTAGTAAAAAGAAAACCACCAGTAATCTCTTTGCAGAAGTGATGAAGGTTAAGTCTTGTTCCAAAACATAAGTATTTTTAAAAGATAGTATTAAAAAAAAAATATAAGGATCAGAATTCCTTATACAATTTTCTTTATACTCTAAATAATAAAGATTTCAAATTAAAATAGATAATTTATAATGGATTTTATAAAAAATCGCCATAGCGATGTGTCGCAAGTGTCACGTGACTTTACATATGTGAATAATTTGTCACCCCGCGTCACATCCTCTAGTTTTCCATTTTTATTATTTATTCTGGGGACAGAATTTTTTCAGTGCAAAAAATACTATTTGTCACACCCTATACATCACATGCTTAATTTCGGCAAATTTTATAACGCTGGCCAAAACATCCTTTTTTGGAGATTTAGGTAACGTTACACAATCCAAAAAAGGCAATTTTATTTTTCAGCAAAATTCAAGTTTTTGTTACACAGAACTTCCAAAAAAGGAAATTTCTTTGACGATCTTTTAATTCCGGCCGGAATTATAAAATCACGTGACACTGGCGATGCATCGCCATGGCGATAAAAAACAAAACCCATTTATAATTTATATTTAGTATGTTAATTTCTGTAAATATTCATTGACCTATATTTATATATATATGTATTTCACGAAGTCATGGTCCATCAAAAAAAAAAATAACTAGCCAATGAATAAACATGAGTAAAAGAATCAATTTACTCTTATATACAGTGTGTTTATATATTTTTATATTTATTTATTTCTAAATTGAGAACATACGAATTGAAATTAAAAAAAAAAGTATATTGTGCATTAATTAACGTAAGGATACATTTACTCACCTAATTACATAATTTAGTAAAGTAATTATGCATAACTTCAATAAACCTTATTGTCATGTTCTTATATGGTGTTCTAGTAAACAATTATTAATCATCTTTAAATAAATTTTTATCGTCAGATTCCAATTTATATTCAATATCATCATTATTCTCAAACTCAAAATCATCATCTTCAACTTCTTTACTAGTTTCAGCAGCAGGCGCTTCTGATCCTAATGGTGCAGTAGATTCTGATGCATTTGACGATTGTTGGCTATATTCAGGTTTTAAATGATAGCAATTATTATATGGTCCACGTTTGTTTAGTATAGCAATTTCATTTAACACATCTTTTAAATATGACTAAGTCGATGATGAGAAAATGAATATTAATTAATAAAAAGTTACAAATAAAACGTAAAAAGAAAATATTATAATTATTTTAGATTAAATACCTCGGGTTGTTTCGCATAATCTTTTAATCCACGTAATGTCCAATATGTGTACTTTTCAAAAGCACCAAATAGTAAATCTATAAGTTCGTTCTTTGGCATACGTGTAGTCTTTTGATCGATCGATACTTTTGGTTTCTTCATCACTTTTGACATAATCAATTTATGTATGCTTTATAACTAAAAATTTGGCAAATAGTTTTATTTTCGATTTATGCTGATATTAATGAATTTTTGCTGATAGGTGATTAATGGTAAGCGATATCACAATTTTTTGGTAACGATCAGCTAAAATTAGATTAGATTTCGTTTAATATTTGTTAATTCGAAATTGGATAAAATGGAATATTCTAACTAATGTAGTTAGGATTAATCATGTAATAACTACATAATAATAAAGAATTGTGACTTTATATAATTTAATGAAAGATTAAAGAAAAAGATAAAAATTAATATGCAAAATCTTAAAGGAATTAAATATAAATCAAAAAAAAATGAATTAAATGAATTAAAGAAAAATTTTTAAAAAAAGTGGAATTTGAAGAGTTTATAGAAATGGAATTTAAATTTTTAAAAAAAGTGGAATTTGAAGAGTTTATAGAAATGGAATTTTATCTACAGATTAGAAATTTTACTAATGATTATCATTGGTATTTTGATATTTGATATCTGGTATTTTAGATTTTCATATAAATAATTAATTAGAAATAATAAAGGTTGATATCAAATTAAAATAGATAATTTATAATTTATATTTAGTATGTTAATTTTCATTGAACTATATTTATATAAACTGAAATAGCTTTATCACGAAGTCGTGGTCCATCAAAAAAAAAAAAAATTAACTAGCTAATGAGTAAACATGAGATAAAAGAATCAATTTACTTCTTATATACAGTGGGTTTATATATTTTTATATTTATTTATTTCTAAATTGAGAACATACGAATTGAAATTAAAAAAAAAAAAGTATATTGTGCATTAATTAAAGTAAGGATACGCTTACTCACCTAATTACATAATTTAATAAAGTAATTATAATAGTACATCAACCAATTAATGTATAACTTCGGTTAATCCAATAAAATCCGTTCCCTTATTGTCATAATGTCTCTTATATATGATGTTCTAGTAAACGATTATTAATCATCTCCAACATCTCCAAATAAATTTTCCTCGTCAGATTCCAATTTATGTTCAATATCGTCATCATTCTCAAACTCAAAATCATCATCTTCAACTTCATTACTAGTTCCAGCGGCAGGCGCTTCTAATCCTAATGGTGCAATAGATTCTGATGCATTTGACGATTGTTGGCTATATTCAGGTTTTAAATGATAACAATTATTATATGGTCCACGTTTATCTAGTATAGCAATTTCATTCAACACATCTTTTAAATATGACTAAGTCAATGATGAGAAAATGAATATTAATTAATGAAAAGTTACAAATAAAACGTAAAAAGAAAATATTAAAATAATTTTAGATTAAATACCTCGGGTTGTTTCGCATAATCTTTTAATCCACGTAATGTCCAATATGTGTACTTTTCAAAAGCACCAAATAGTAAATCTATAAGTTCGTTCTTTGGCATACGTGTAGTCTTTTGATCGATCGATACTTTTGGTTTCTTTTGCTGTAATATTAAAAAAAATATATGTATGTTGAGGTTTACGTATAAATTTAAATACTATTGAATAAATGATTAAGATGATACATGCAACAAGGTTTCCGAATTTCGCAATAGCAGCCGCAGATGCACCAGGCGGTACGTAAGCACCACGATTTTCATTGTCCCCTATTATCTTAATTCTTCTCATCGGTGTTGCAGCTTGTAATGTTCTTTGGCGAACTTTTCTACTGTAATCGACCCCAAATGTTGGTTTCACTATAAAATTTTTTTTTGCTGTAGCTGCCATGGACACACCTATATATATATAAAAAAAGGTCAATTAAATCTTTTAACAAACATTACTTATGTTAGAAAGCCACTGTAAAAGATCGAGTGGATTCTTACTTTCATCATCTTTATTTTGATAAAAAAGATATGTATCAGCAACATTATTATCAACAACTTCAAGGTCATATTCTTTGGGTTCGTTTTCATGTCTTTCGATGTTTGAAAGGATAAATTTATACTATTAAGAAAAAAAAAGGAAGAAAAGAAAAGAATTTTTAGCAATTAAGATAGAATTTAATTCAACCTTTAAAATTTAGTACATACCGATTGTTTTGGTGGTTGACTACCTATTCCACTGTAATTACAGAAAAATTATTCATATTAGAAATAAACAAAGAATTAGAAATAGAATAAATTAAGATTATTATTATACCGAGAATCAACAAAAAATTGAACTTTTGCAAGTTCAGTATCATCATCTGCAACATCCGCCCATTTATCAAACAAGTAAGCTGGCAGCTAAAGGTTACAGAAATTAACTTATTGTTGTGAAATTTAATTACTATTTAAGTAAAATTTTTAAAATTCTTATATACTTTAATAAGCCAAGCTTCATTTTCGAGATCTTTCAGATCAATATCGTCTGTATCCTCATATTCGAACCCTTCTTCGTCAACATCCATACTTATATCTTCCATAGATACACCTAAATTTTCATAATCTATTTCCATCGACGACATTATTTTAAAATGAAGTAAAAGAAGTTTATTGTTAAATATATAAAAACGACAAGAGAGTTAATTTTCAGCGGATTTGAAAGCACTCGCTGATTCAGCTTTTACAAAAAGGTTGATACCACTGATTAAAGGGTTTCTTATTCTTATAAGTCAAAGATTTGGAAATTTTATTTCTCTTTGATAATGCCTTTCCCATATTTGGAAATTAGAAACCAGGATTTACGCAGTTCGTGCAACCTGAGCTTAATCGTGTAAGCTTCTAATTGGTAAATAATATATTGATTAAAATTTTGAAAAAAACAAATCAGTCGAGTGATTTCACTTCCATGTCAATTAAAAAAATGCGATCGCTTTATAAGTTTCTTTACAGCTTCCTAGCATTTATAGTGCTGGTTACGTGTTTAATATACACAGCATCAGCAAACGTAAATGCAATTATTTCACCACCTTTCAACGTTCCCAAAAACTGGAAAAACACTAATATGCTTCGAACGATAGACCTTACAAGTTCTATCGTTCGAGAAACCACTGCGGTTGTTGCTCAAAACATTCATAACGAATCGATAGGTGAATATTATTATCCTATACCTAAAGAATGGGATGAACACTTATCATTTATTGAAGTTAAAGAAAGAACGACAGAACAGTTTTTTGAAGTTGAAAAAGCAGAATTTAATTCTCTCAAGTGGGTAGCTTCTTCTAAATTATCAAATCAATTTGAAAATACGTTTGTTATGCATATTTCAAATGACACAAATGAAATAATATGTGGGAAACCAAAGAATTTTAAGTGGCCTTTATCACATACTTCTTCAACGAATAATTATTGTAGCAAGATCCAATATTATAAAATTTCCTTCAATCGTCGTCTCGATCCAGAGGATAAAATTAAATTCATTGTAACAACAGCTTTTACTCACGTGCTAACCCCTTACCCTAAGGAAATCGCACAAACAGGAAGACAAAACATATTATTTCGTGGTAATCAATATGGTAATAGTGCTTATCACACAGCTCAACAAAAAACCATAGTAAAGTAAGTTTATATTATTTACAAATTTCGTGATATTCATTTTATTTAATAACATTCAAATCGATAATCAATAATTATGTATAAAGACTCCCTTCAGCTGTTATTATTAGCTACAGCCAACCAACTGGGTATATAACTAGTAATCGAAACACGCTCGAGTATGGGTTGTTTGACGGCAAAGAACCTAATTCTTACGAAGAACTCAAAATCCATTATGAATTTCAACAAAGTATATTAACTGTCAAAGGGTTAAGACGCGATTTAGAAATTAGTCATTGGGGTGGAAATCTTGCAATTGAAGAGCATTTTAATTTAACTCAAGAAGGGGCAAGGCAAGTAATAAATTGAAACAACTTATATTATTTGAAAGTTTTCGTTTAAATCTTCATGTTTTTTTAAAAAAATTCTTGATTTACAAAGATTAAAGGATCAATTTTCGCGACTTGAATATCATAAAAATATCTATACACGTCAAAACTCTGTCATGACACGTGAATTATCATTGAGTTTACCAGCTCACGCGTCAAACGTATATTATCGTGATGAAATAGGTAATGTATCTACATCTCATTTACGATATGAACAAGATAAAACAGTTTTAGAATTCAAGCCACGATATCCTTTATTCGGTGGATGGAATTATACTTGGTATTATGGATATAATGTACCTATTGGAGATTTTGTGAAGTATCACTCTGAAAGTGGTCGATATATTTTGAACATACCTTTCATAAACGTGCTCCCTCGAGTTACTTATGATAAAGTACAAGTGAGAATTATATTACCAGAAGGTGCAAGGTATGAAATGCTTTTTTTCTTTTTTTTTTCTTTGAATTTAACAAAAAACTAAATATGTTTGAATTTTGACTTTTAGTAATATAAAAGTAGAAACCCCATTTCCTGTTGATAAAGAATCACATGGTGTTCACAAAACTTATTTAGATACAATAGGACGATATCTTATTGTTCTTGATAAATTTAACGTTCTTAATGATCATTCAAAAAATTTTCAGATATCTTATACATACAATTCATTTGAATTATTAAGAAAACCTTTAGCAGTCTCAGTTTGCCTTTTGGGTGCATTTCTTTTAAGTATGGTTTATTCTAGAATGGAATTCGGTATTGGAAAATCCGAGAAAAAAAGTTAAAATTATTTATATTTAGAATTAATATTTTTAAATAATTTAGTATATAGAAAAAAAAAAAAAAAATTATTATTATAAGAATTCCGCGGAATACCGGGATTTAATAAATCAATGTGAGCGACGAGGCGTCGACCCATAATTCCTCGAAATTTTTTAGCTGCAAAAACTTGTTTCAAGAATAAAAATAAAAGTATTATTTCTAAAGAACACTTAAAAGGTATTATTGTATTAACAAAGAAAAGACAAAGAAAAGTGATTAAAATACATATATTGTTAAAGTAAATTAGGTAAAGTGTCAAAGTTCTATGATGTAATTGGAAAAGGACCGGGTGATCGAAACTTTATTTGTTGAGATTTAATTGGTGTAACAAATATACTCTGATTATTTAAAAAACTTATAAATTTCACAAAGAAATTTTGACTATTGGATTTTGTCGGAAAAATTTCCGATTGACTAAATTTTTACCGGAAATTACAATAATGATTAAACCCACTTCAATTGTTATTTATTATTTATTTTCGGCAAAGTTTTTCTATTAGAAACTTCCGTTAGTTTGTCACACTCCGAATTCTATGAATATTTATCTTATTTCGGGTATCATAAAAAAGTTTACAAGATAGAGGAAAATTTCTTTAGATCAAAAAACAACTAAAAGATTTACATACAATTTTGTTAGGATCTCACGCAGCAAAAAAAAGATTTTTATAATGGTTAATTTCTAATTATTTACAGGGATTACAAGAGAAATTCCATTGGATGATGATATTGATGATGATGATAATCGCAAACAAATTGTAGATTTTTTTTTATTCTGGGAGGGTCTTTAAAACAATTCTTTCCGAATCCTTTTGTGAAATTTTTAATTATAATGATACCATATTTTGCAAAGATTAACGAGGATTTTTTTTTTTTATTTTCATTTTTAGAATGAAGTGATTCTGGGAATAATATTTTTATTTTTTTTTTTTCGAGAAATACCAAGAATCAAACATATTGTTTGTTTATTTCGTATTACATTTGTCCGACAAATTTTATAAAGTTTTTTTCAAGATTTTTTTTCAAAAAATCCAGATTCTTTACATGATGAGTATAACTTTATTTATAAGATGTTTGGTTGAATATGAGATTGGCCGAATAAAGTCACAAATAAACAACTCACGGAGGTTCTTGATCGATATCGGTTTTTATTTAATCTTATTATGGTAAAACAAAATATTTGCATTAATCCACGTGCTCTTTTTCTTGCATGTAAGTTCTACCAACTTTATTATTTGCAAAGTTTTTAAACACAGATCAGATTGGCTAGATTCGGTTTGAATTGAACTTCTAATAAAAGAAATTGACTAGAATAAGATTCTATTTGTTCAAGAAGACTTTTTTTTATAAAATTCTATCAATGGATTTTACTCATATATAAAGATTATATAACTGTATGTACTGTAATATAACTGTATGTACTGTACGTATCTATATATATATATAAGGACTTGATCAAAAATTTCCCGGGTACTAATGATCTAATTATATATTTTCATATACACCACGGAGAATTGCACATGTATAAATAAACAAAAAAACAAGATATCCTAAGCCCGCCATATATTACATATATTATCAACAGGTTATAGCATGAAAATTAACGAAAATTTGGATAAGAAATCTAATGAATCTGTACTATTAACGTTAGTTTGAATTCTTTTAACATAATACCTTTTTTACCCTTTTTTTTTCAAAAAAAAAAAAAAAATCGTAAACAACGGGGCGTGGGAGGTTAAATTATACTCGAACTAATTTTCTTTTGATCGCCTGATTAATATAAATATAATATATATATGTACGTATGTATGTAATGTACAGTAATACTGTATATATTGTATATATTATTTTACGCAAATGGATCGCGACTTCCGTAGTAGGAAATAACTTTTTTTGAACGTAATTTTTTAAAAGAAACTTTTATATTTAAATGATTCCATATTGATCCTTTTAAATAAATTTTTGGTAAATAATATTATAATGGATTTCAAATCATAAATAAACACATGTTCTTACTGCTTGCTTTTAAAAAGTACGAGTTTTGGCGTTTACTTGTTTCTTACTTATCGAGTTTGGTGGAAAATTTAACTATAAAAAAAAAAAAAAAAAAAAAAAAAAAAAAAAAAAAAAAAAAAAAATAAATAAATAAATAAAACCATAAATCAATCCATCATATTTTGTTCTGAAATTTATTATTTGAAGGTGAGCTATTAATTTCAAGTGGCTGAGATACTTAAAATAACGCGTGATTTTTTTTAAAAGATATTTAGTGATATATATTCAGTTAATCAGTTAAAGAGAAAAGAGTTGCTAGAAGATCGTATCCAAATTTCTTCTCAGTAAGTATAGTTACACGTACGCGTGAAGGCACATAATTTATGCAAAAAATCCACAAAGAATTTTTTCTTTTTTGATTTTAAAAAAAGAAAATTTTTAAATTAAGTTTAGAAGATTAGACTAATGGATAAATACAGAAAAATGGGGTATAGTGCAGGAAAATAATCCATTATTTTTTTTCAACAGATTTCTGAACTTATTGGTTTTGTTTGTGGTCTCTTTCCAATCTTTCCAAACCGAATAAAACCAAAAGATACTGAAAAAAAAAACCCCAAGAGTAATGTCTTCACGAGGCGAATCTACTTATGCACAATATCCTTATACTCCACCAAAAAATAATCAGCAACTTCTGCACCACCATCAGTATACTCAACAGAACCAGTTCACAACAACGCCTCAGGACGGTATAATCTCCCAAACACCTTCGGGAACACCAAATCCTCAATACACAACTCAAAATACCTCGATTGGACCACCTAGTTTAAGTTGTCAAACACGAAGATATAAGGCTTCAATAGCAAATAACACGCCTCGGCAATATCCTTCAACTATTGCCCCTCCTTTGAATGAACGCCCTCCTTCCCCGTTAGCTTCGACCCAATGTTTACCCACTAATAATAATGTACCTATCTCTTCGACTCTGCCCGCGTCCTTACCCACGCCTCCGCCTATACCCGCGGGCCTGTCTAGCCCAAATAACACTACTACGGCATCTAGTTTTGATTTACAAGACATTATCGCCCAATTTGGAGGGCAACCTGAACTACTTAAGATTATTCTTACTTCTAAAGTAGAAGAAGATAAACGTAAGGCAGAAGAAGCAAAATTGCGCGTTAAAGAACTTGATTTAATGTTATGTGATAAGCATAGAAAATGTAATGACCACGATGATTCAAAGAATGATGAGATTCATTCTAATCAAGATATGGATTATGACAATGGTAAAAATTTTACTTTACAAATAAGTTGTTTTAAACGTGATTTATATACTTATAAAATATAATTCATTGATTTTTCATTTTAGAAAATTCGATCGGAACGTAAGTTTATTAAAACATAATGATTGACATTTAACAAAGTTTTTTTTATTAATAATGTATTACTTTCAACGTTTAAAGATATTCTACATCTGATGGAACAATGAATTACGCGTCTTTTAATACCAACTTATCTTCTCATAGTCTTTCTCTTAACCCTTCAAGTACCCCCGTGTCTCAATCAACACCTCGAATTGAATCACGATCATCTAAAGGTTAGTTAAAGCCACAATTGCGATTTAATGAACAAATCATATTACATGATAATCAATTTACGCCTCAAATTTCACAAAATCCAAGCAGATCAGGATGAACCAACAGAATGCGAACAAAATAATAATGGTGCACCTAACAAACGTAAGCGTAAACGCCGTGAAATGCTTCCAGTGACAATGATCATTGAAACAAAAGAACATCCTTATGTGGATGATTATTTATGGAAAAATAATGGAAACACGACACAGAGAAAAACTGGAAATAAGAGTGTTTATTTTAAATGCTCAAACAGTAATAAAGGATGCCCAGTTAATAAAACTGTTACCGAAAAGGAATGTGGATGGATCATTAAATATCGTGGTAATCACTTGGAAGAATGTGGTAAGATCAAGAGGATTGTACAATCTTGAAACCTTTTCTTTTGGAAAAAAAAAAATTTCCGTCCGATGTGATCGATCTAAGACTTTCATGCCTTAGCTTGCATTATATATATTTTTTTTTTTCTTTATAAAATAATCGTTTTTTTACCTTCCCAATGTACATTTTCACTTCGTTATTTTATCGTTTCCCCTTTATTTTCTTCTGTAAATTTCTTTTTTTATTATATATATATTTTTTAACGTTTATCTTTGCGAATTTTATTTTTTTTATTTCTTCATGTCGTAATCGAGAGAACATTGGAGGAAAACCCAGTTTTATAAGCAAGTTAAAGCAAGAGAAGAATATATTTTTAATTATTTCTCTCTTTTTTACTCTCTTTTAAATTTTTTTTTTT